TTCCAGAGACATCCCTCAGGGACGTCCCTTGTTAGTCCTCAAGTGGGACATTTGTGCGACCCACAGACGTCCGATGGACGTCCACGGTACCAAATTCGAACGTCCTATGGACGTCCTGAATGTCCCGACAGGACGTCCTATAAGGATATCCATGGGACATGATTGTGTTATTAAGGAAGTCATTGTTGGTTTTTCTATAACTAAAATCTTGTAATCGGCTGATGATGGGCTCATACAAGCCCGAAACATGCACCTGCGTAATTGATCTCTGATCTATCTAATAGATGTTTCGAAGATGACTTTGGGTTTCACCATCTATGAAATCATTTTATAGTTTCGCTAAGTCTGATAAATTCAGTTTATGAATTCAAGGAAAATGATGTATTTACCACTTGTCCCTTGTCAGAGCATCATTTTAATGAAGTTACGATGATGTGACTAATCTGATTACCTATCAGAGAAAGCAGCTATATCAGCTAATTCTGCCGAGAGAGTCGTTAATTGAACAAATGGAGGGTCACTGTGTAGACAATCAAACGAACTAGCAGACAATAATAATACAGGGTGATCGAGTTTCAGTGACTAGTTATCCAGAGATCGATATAACTCGATGTGTGATTCAAAGTGCATGTTCATGATTTCGCAGTATTCAGTGAATATATGAATATCTAGCAGACCATGCAGAAAAATAAGATGGACAAATTTCAGTTATCAAATGGTTTGATTGAAAAACGTATCAAAATCTAGGCAAGACAAGAGTTTACCTGTAACTGAAAAAACAGCTCAACTTGAGTCAAGGAATTCTGTGATCTTGAAATGAACGTTCTCATACACAGAGGAAATACTTCGCATGGAGAAGAATTTCTTCGTCTTGAGAAATCCATCAGTGTTCTTCATATTTTCTGAAATTTCTCTGGAATGAAAATGCCTTCAATTGGGATAATTTTCTCTTGTCACAATATTGTCTCATTCTACAATTTTTTGAATCTTGAACTTGAAACAAGAATCATGAATCTTGAATCTTGATGAAATATCTGAGAATCTTTGGAAAAAACTCGGGCGATACCCAGCGCCCTCAGTAGCGAACGAAACAGTTGAGCCTCAGTACTCAGTAGTTTGGTACTGTGTACTGTGTATATAGTTGTGCGTGTCAGTGCTATTCGCGCATCATAATTTTATATTTTCAGTTGATGGATACGAAAGTATTCGAATATAGTTCAGATCATCAATTATTCAAATTCTTCAAGAAGATTCAATTATACTTTAAGGTTATTTGAATATTTAGAAAGTAAGTATTTGATAACTCATAAACAATTCGAATATAATTTTTCTTTCCAAAAATATATTAATAGCCTCAAAAAGTGTTTGAATACCTATACTGTTGGTGTATTCGAATACTTCGAATATTCAATTGATTCGATGTGAATATGTGCAAATACCAAGTATAAGACATATTCCCACAAGTATATTTGTAAGTATATAAAATTCAACTATACCAAAAAATATAGTGTCCATGCAGCTCTCTAGAGTATATAGGTACCTACCTATGTTCATAAATAGAATAAGATGAAAGCTTTCATCTACTACTATCAATTCTTGAAGTGGTAGGGATTAAATGTAGATCACCCTATACAGGATGGCATGGGAATAAGTGCCTGAGAAAGCTCAACGTTACTATCGAATGGCACCAATAAATAAGAATCAACATGAAATTTGGGGTTCGGTCCCTTTTTCACCCAAAGTTTCAATCTTTTTCAATCATTTGAGTTGTTTCAAAGTGACGTACTTGATTTTTTTCTCGTTTTTAGAACTGAAAAAAATCTGATATCATGGGAATATTCCTTAGACTGTATCATATTGATGTGCTGAATATATGTACTCAACTCAAAAACACCTCGTATTTCCATGATTTCGACATAAAATGTGTTTTTCGAAACTAAGTTTGAATGAAATTATGCATCTCGTATATGTATGTACATGTAATATGTTCCTTTTCTGAAACTTTTGTAAATCATTTATCAGGGGTTAAAGATATAGTATGGTGAAAGCGCACATTTAAAAAAAAATTCAAAACATTTTTTTATGTGATTTATCGTGTGAAAATATCTCATAGAACATCTCATTGCATTTATTGCCTCAATTTCGGAAACACCCTGTACAAGAGAATGTCCTCGAGAATGTCGTATCACATTTCTAATACGATTCATGAATTCGACAGTTTCATTGTTTCGAAGGAACCTTTTTGTTATAATTTCTAACATATCTATATCTGAGTGATTCTCTGAGTGCCTTGATTTTCCAAGTAGGAATTATTGTCTATTGTGTAGGTACCATCTTTTTGATCAAGGGTACCATTTAAAACGAGTAACTGTATATGAAATTCGTATCCACTCTCGTTTGTCAACAATATTTGGTCCGTTTGAATAATGCGGTTTTGAAAGTGAAAGCAGCGCTATTGACAAAAGTAATTAACAGTGTACCTAATTCGCTCATTTTTGAATCTCAATCATGTTTATAATTACCAATCGATATACAGGATGTAATATTATGACAACCAGTTACAGGTTGCCATCATTATACAAAAAAAATGTCACTAAAAGTTGCATATATACAGGGTGTCCGGAAATGTCATGTCGTAAATGATAGGGCTGATAGACTTAGCCAAAATAATGTTAGTACTACATATAAAAAAATGTCTATCGCGCTTTGTTACGGAGTCATTGACCTTGAGAATGAGAATAAAAAAAAAACAATTTCATGTTCAACTTTCAAACGGTTGCATGATATCCGAACAGGTATATTAAATCATACTATAATGCTCCTGCCTTATTGAAGGCATTTTTGACAAAGGTGACAAATTCCACGTTTCGCTTCCACCGTTTGATTCGTTCATTTTCCATCTAAATAAATGGTATACTCTATTTCAATCGATATCTGGTACCGTTCTTGAAAAAATCGCATTCCAAAACATACATTCCAACCGTTTCAGAGGTAATAAAAAAGCTCCATTTATGTATTTAATGACATCAATGAAGACAAGAAGACTATCAAAAATGGTTTTCAATAGGTACATCTTGAACTTCAACGCATTTTCTAAAGTTGTCTAAACATAATATTCGATGAACTCGAGATAGATAACTTGCAGAAGTAAGAAGTTAAAAAGTAGTTGTTAAGGCCGGTTCTCATATACGCTTCGCCGCGCTTCATTGTGCTTGGCTTCGCGACGAAGCGCCAATGTACTAGGGATGTATTCACATATAAGCTTCAAACCCAGAGTGTCGGTGCGTCAGTAGTTATTTTCTGTTGAATATTCAGAATGATATTATGTGCATATCTTTATATGAAGAAGAATGCAAATTCTCTACTCCAGAAGATTTTGTTTTCAAATTCTCATAGTGTATGTTCAATAGATGTAATTCAATGTTCGTCGTGGCATATAGCCAGGGAAGTTATTGTTATCTGTTGAATAAACCGAAAAAAAATTAATATTTTTATCACATATTTAGAGAATGCGAATTCTCGAAGAATTTCTTTATATATATATATATATATATATATATATCCATGTTTTCATGTTCATAGTAATATCTGAGAATATTCCTTTTCAATACTTTCACCCAAGCAAGGGGTTCAAACTTGAACTATGGAAACTTGTTATTTTTATAGACCTCATTCGCAGATTCGTGATTAGATTCAGAATTCAGGATTTCTTTTCACGTCCTGTATGATGAATATCAATTCATCATACAACCAAAAAAAAAATTCATGAAATAGGTTAGGTTCCATGTGTGTGAGGCGAATGCCGCCCTTCATCGCGATCCCAGATGGGTCTATGAGTTATGGGTTATGAAATAGGAGTAGACCATTATCCATTATATTAATTGCTGTCAATCAATGTCATCACAGAAACAATATTTTGGGCGACCATATCATTTTGCAACTAATTCATCACATTATTATTCAAATTATTCATCTGCTCAAATTTGTTTCTGTTTTCGCCTGAATTTGATGGATACCTCAAGGTAAGGGTGCTATTTGAAATTATAAGGTACGGGTGGCTAGGACTTAAAAGTTGATCGATACTGGTATTTTACTTTCCTGTCAATATCTAAATTGACCTATTTTTTTCAATAATTGTGATCACTGTGTATCATAAGATATGCTGGGTGACAAGTTTTGATATGAAAGCGTGCGTTGATAGGGAGTTTTCACATAAAAATGAAATTATAGGACTAGAAACAAAACTCAATTTCGTCACGTTTCGTTCGGGCTCATTATGTATTAGAGGGTATCAGTATATTGAAGTATGAGTGAATATTACGGCCCTAAAAACACGCACGATTGCACGACGAGTGTTTTGAATACCAGCTATCCACGAATGCTTTGCGCTATTTTTTATTAGTACACTTTGGGATCATGAATATCTATTAGTTTCAAAGTTAATTCCAAAGAACAACTGCTAATTTGAAATGAAAAAAAAATAATCATCGTTACTTAGTGATTTTATTTGACGTTCAAGGTACTCCTGTTAAATCGATAGCAAATCAGAATTTCGATGAAAAAAATCGATGAAGGTGCTTTCGTAATCTGAGCGACAAATGATATGGCTATTTCTGTTTTAATTCTTACCGAACGTCTGGCAACATTGCCAAGAAGCCTTCGGTGTGTGGAAAATGCTGTTCGCTTATTTGCGAAAATATGATTGATGTTTGTTTTGATGTACCCTATTACCTTTTAAAGTTTGTCGGTATGTTTTTATGAAACCCTGTGTATTTTAGGCAACCTAATGTTTGATACCATTTTGTTTGATACCATTTGAAACGTGTGAATTAGCAAAGAAAATGAACCATATATTGTTGAGACTATATCACTCCTTTTTCTGTAGATTATAGTGAACTATTGATACAAAATGTTCAGTGAGGAAGACAAAGACTAAACATGTGAATCTAACTCTGATGTGTACCAAAAACTAACGAATACTCACTCAGACTGAAATAAACATGAACTTCACGAGTGCAGAGTGAACTATCGAAAGACTGATTATCAAAATGAAGTGCTTAATATGTTTCTTACTTGGCGGTTTAACAATAGCATTCGCCATACGAGTTCCAAGTAGCTGGAATGAAGAATTGAGGAATAACCCAAAAATTAGATACAAAAATATACATCCTCCTAGAACGAATAGAAATACAAAGTCACTACCAGTATTGATTCCTACTGGAGAATTTTACAGAAAACCAAATGTTCTACTGAAACCTAGGAAGTCCTCATGGAAGAATGTGCCAGTTACCAATTTTGTTTCCAAATTCAGCACGAAATCAACGCCCTATAGAACTATAAAACAATTCGAGCAGAACGTTCCATCTTCTTCAGGAGCTATCCAACCAGAGGTTGAACCAGTAGTAAACTATGCTGGAGTCAAAAATGAGATGAGGAATCAACGGTTTCCTATGACTGAAAATCTACCCAGCTTCACAACCATAATACCTCCTATGGATTCTTATCAGATATTTACAGAACCAACAAGTTCTAAACTTCCTGACTTCACGCCTAAACCAACCTCACTAATTGTGACTCCATCTCGAACTATGCATCATCCTTTCATAAGTTCTTCAAATAAAAAATCACAAGCAATACATAGGCAGAATCAATTGAATGATTTCATCAGCAATCCATCCAATTTCCAAGTTTTTGAACAAACCTCTATAGATTCATCACACAAATCTCCACAAGAAAAACCTTCATCATATAAGTCGACTTCTAGTTCATTTCCTCCTCAGAATTTTGATCGAGTTTTCATGATACCTACTAATCATAAATCTCAATCTGAAACCACTGAGCAGACGACTGTAGGGAGAAACCTATTCCCTCCTCTAAACTTTGATCAGACATTCAATATCCCTTTCAATCCCGAATTTGTGTCATCAAGCAACAATCACAATAATTACGATCCCAAGAGCCATCTTCTCAAGAACTACCGAGATGATATGACTCATGAACCAGTAGAGTTCGATCCTTTTCTTGATAATGAAGCCACACCAGCAATACTGAGGGATGAATCAGAAAAGGCACCAATCAGTACCCATGAATACCCTGCTGATATTCCAACGAAGCCAATTTACCCTGGTGAAGGGCTCTGGGCAACAAGAGGGCTCAAACATAAGCCATTCATCAGCAAACAAAAGTATGAATCTCTGGAGAAAGATGCGAATACACCAAATGGATATGACACCTTTATAGAAGGTGAGAAAATGTTCAACCAACAACATCATGGGTTCAATAAACATTTAGATGCATTCCCAAAGAAACATAATCTAGAATCCCTTGAAGACAAACAGAGGCAACAAGATCGTATTGCTACCAAAGAAGAAGCTGAAACAGTACGAGATGAAGAAACAACACAACCAGCTGATAAAAATGGCGCAGAGGATAGTGAGCATGGGAAAGAATTTGTACCAATGAAGCTATACGCGCAAGTAAGACACAGTGAAGATATTGAACACTTACCAACGAATGATGATGAGAATGGAAGGTTGAGAGAAGCCATAAAGGAATCGAAAATTCAAACTGTGTATACCGAAGAAGGATATGAAGATGATGCTTATGATCACGAAGGTCATGAAAAAGAAGCTGAGAATAAGGAAGAGTTTGAAGAACTCGAGAGAGGGCAAGAGAAGACAGCTGAGAAAAAAGTGCCTCATAAAAAATATAACTTGCACTTAGTACCTAAGATTGAGTCAACTAGATATTCCAATGGATTCAAACTACCTACAGATCAAGAAATTGAGGATTATAAAAAGATGCAACTCGGACTTGATGAAGATTCAGATATCGCTGGCTCCCAATATGAAGAACCATCAGTATTCAATATTAGTTACACCGGAAATAAATCTCCCAAGAACTTTTACACTCATAAACCACCAAAAATTGAGAATAGTAATAATTTCATGAGTACTAAGGAGATCAAAACAATGACCACCAAAGAGAAAGATGACGGTGATACTGAAACAGAAATATCAAGCAGAATAAAAGTGATTATGCACCCAAATAACACTGCCAAGGCACATGAATTCATCAAAATTCATCCCAAGGTGTATAAAAACTGGAAGAAAGTACCTAGTAGTTCAAATGCCGGAAAAGGAAGGATGTCAAAGGTAGAACCAATTCTTACTGGAGAGATCACTAAGCCGAATAAACAGGGTATTTATATTGAAGAAATAATAACAACCTCCTCCAAACCACTACTTAGTACCCTGCCAACAACAGAATTCCCCGATATTTTGTCTGAAGAGATACCAATCACAACCCTTCCTACCACAGCTATACCAAGCATTAGGAAAAAAAGCATACACAATGAATTCTCAAATGTTCATTCAAATCCCTCAGGAATTGATATCAGATCGAGAAAAAAAAGATTTGTCAATGATTTTCCAAACATACATATTGACAATGGTTTTATTTCAAAAATAAGTCATGAGTTAGTGGGGGTTCCAGATGACACGAAAGCAAAATACCCCTACTATGAGAACTACAAGCGGATAGATCTGAATGAAAACTCACCACTCAGGTATTCTGAGGACTTGAATAATATGCCAATGAAATCAGAAGGAAGAATGTCATTTTACGATCAAGCTGATAGTCGAATTGAATGTCCAGAAATTGAATCAACTGTTGAACCAATTCCTGAAAGGGTGATAAAGGTCGGAGAAGAACAGTCTGATGATGAATATGATAACAATAGTGGTGAAGATGAATTCGAAGAACGGAAAAAAAGAGATACCAAACAAAATTTAGCAGTAGCAGAACAGCCGAAAGGTCCTAGGCTGAATAGGTTGGGAGATAAAATAGATTGCCTCAAAGCCAGATATTTTGGAGAGAATCCTCTAGATAGTCCATTTTTTGAAGAAGATACTATCAGTCCAGTCAAACCAATTTTCAAAAATTTGATTGTTGTAAAATCCAACACTGAGAATGACAATCCCGATAATGTATCTGCAGAGACTCAGAATCCAACTAGTTTTCTTGCGGAAAATGAAATCATCAATGATATGGACAAAAAGAAACGAACCAATATGATACGCAAATTCAAAGTTCTGAGGGGAATTGATGAAAACTCCCCCAATATAATCAACTCCAACAGTTCTGTTGACACTAATTCCACCCAAATTCCACCGGCTGTAAAGACACCTATCGTGGAGAAGGTTCCTGATGCCCCAATAGAATTTGATGAAGAAAAGCTGGGTTTGAATGTATTGAATGATATTTCTAAAAACATGAAATCTCTAAATCATAGTCATAACAATAACTCTACTCAGATTCCACCTACGATGGGAACAAAACCAACTATTAGTCTTTTAACGACTCCAGAATATACGATCGATTTGAAGCCAAAACACATTTATGATCAGATAAATTTATTAAACTATCTACCAAAAGAACAAAGCACTACCAACAATGAATCAGAAACGAATGTGATACCAGCTATACCACGATCAGAAGTGGAGCTTATAGCAGATAATGAAACAGCTGGAAGAGACAGAAATGATATGAGACAACCAAAATCTCATGAAGCAGAGGAACAGGATAATCTGACTTATGACTCTTCTTCCATGATTGATATTCTACCAGATGCCGAGGCTTTGAAAAAACGGAGGAAATTCAGAATTCGGAGAAAGCGACCAGGCTTCCAAATATTTGATGTGAACAAATTCATACCAAGACCCTACACAATTCAAAAAGGACACCTGATTCCTACTAGTGGTAGTATATCCAAAGGTTTTCAAATTTTCGACGTAAATAAATTCCTACCTACACCGAACTCAATCATAGCGGATTTCATCGCTTCTAGTACGGTCCTGCCAAAATATAAGATAATCAGTGAGGTATCCTACAAAGATGATATCAAACCAAATGAGCAGCTGAATGTTTTCACGGATATACTCAACAACATTCGCAATTCGTCAGGAAATATCGCGAGAGATTCTTCCCAAGAGTCATCTCATATGAGTATTGATTCAAATGGCCCGGAAGGGTTTGATCGAACGATTAACTCACACGAATACGATAAAGATACTTATCTCAATGCATACAATGATCAACAAGTCGATGACAAGTATTACCCTTCCATAGTTACCACAATTCCAACTACTACTTCTACGCATGAACCTAAAATCGATAGAGGGACTATTCGATTTTCAACAGAGCTTAATAAAAACAAGCCGAGTACCACACATCGTCCAGTCCAAAGTAATGATAAGAAACTTAAACTTTATGCGGCTCTTCTGGAAGCAAAATTGAGACAATCGAATGAGTTACAAAACAACTTGCCTGGAATCGCTTCCACTACACCATCACTGAGAGATACATACCCAGAGAGTTATCGTACCACAGTTGGAGGCATGAACCCCCCAGGATCCCAACGTTACAAAACCCTATATCACCCAAAGAGAGATAACAACATGCACTTGTCCATCCCAGCGTATAGAGGAACTAGCCTTGTGAATAAATATATTGTCATGGGCATGAAACCTCCTCCAAGACAAAGAGTATTGTTATATTCGGATTTTCTGCTCCATAACAATCATCTGAGACAACGAAATGGGTTGTTGAGAAGCAGAAGAAGCACCAACAGAGCTGCATATGCTGAGGTTTCAAGAAATAAAGCCAGCCTTCTCCAAGATGACGAAATCGAAAATGATGACGATGAGGATGACTATGTTCCACATCGACCAAAAAATTATTTCTATGATGAGAAAACAGGAAAAATAATTTATAATAATGTAAAGACACCACAAGATGAGGACGAAGACTCTGAAGTTGAGTATATAGAAATTACTGAACCTCCGCGGCCCAAAACAACTTCTAAACCTAAGCAAAATCCGATTTTTGCTACAGCAACTCCACCTCCAGAAGGTCAAAGCTATGTTGATTTTGTGAAGAAACTGAAAAATGCTGCAGATTACAAATTCATACCAGATCCTACAACCACTGAGAAAAATGCTGCACAGAGTACTGAACAAATAACTACACTGAGTCCAATATCCACCACACCGCCAGAGTTTTTGAGTATTTTAGCCAAAATACGAGAAACCAATGATTATAGAATCATAAAAGACCCAATGAATGATAAGAGTACTACAACAAGAACACCAGAAGAGGTTGTTGAAGAAGTATATGGAGAAGAAACCGCACCAATCCACTTGGGGAACTCTCCAGGAGGCGAACAACACAGTTTAACAAATGATTTCCAGATATTTGATATATCGGATTATATCCCAAAACTGAAGAACTATTTACCTCGAACATCCATAGATTATTCGAAATACAAAACCATAGAAAGACCTGCTGCAAAAAATTATCCAAAATCGGAAGAAGATTCTGATGAACCTGAGAAGCCATCAGCAGCACTAACACAAGATATATCAGATAATTCAACAAACATTGAAAACGTAGTATCCAAGAAAGAAGAACGTTTTGTTGAAGATGATATTCCAGTTACAACCACAACTACTACCACTACTACGGCTCCAATTAAGTTCTATACTACTGCCCATAATCGTAGAAGAAGACCAACAACCCTAAAAAGTTCTAGAACTTCGGCTAAACCAACTCCAACAAAATCGCCAACACTTGCAACTGCCGAAAGTCAAGAGGTACGAAATGAAAAACCTAGAAGAAATTACAGAAGGAGACCTACGAGAATCAAATCAACAACTGAGCGACTGTTGGGCCATGATATTGATGAAACCACTAAAATTCTCAGGAGGCGGAAAATAGATGAAAACACAAGTAGCAAAATAGCTAGTGATGAGAAAAGCAGAAAAATTGAAACAGGTGACTATTTGAATGATAAAATAGCCAGTAATATCTCCAACCCTGTTATCAACCATCCAGAGAAGTTAATTGAGGTATTCCAGGAGTACAATCAGGAAAATGAACATGGAGGAAATTACCGTAAGGAAGATGTGAGAGGGCTTAAAAAAGAACTACTTGAACCTGTTAGTGGAGCATCAAGAAGGAGCAAAGATGTAGAAATAATCAGCGAGTTTGACAAAACCAAACGACACGGTGGAAACTTCAAGAGTGAGAATGAAGACTACGTTGAACTGACACATGAAGAAAAACTATCAGATTCGATAAAAGATTCTGAACTGGAAGCGCTCGATAGCGATAAGTTCAAATCGGAGGACCAACCCTTGACTATACAGCTGTTACCAAAGTATAAGGATGAGTTGACTGAAAAGAAGAGGGATGTTAAACCTGAGCATGATGAACGATCCATCCAAAATACCAATGAGCATCGCAAAAGGAATCGAATTACCAGAAAATATAAGAAGTATCCCAGAAATCAAGGACCTGTTGGAAGGTTAACAGATGTGGTCCCCAAACCAGAATCTTTCTATTCCGACCCTCATCTCCCTAGATCTATAAATTTGCTCATGATAGCACAGCCTATGAAAATAGAAGATGACTATCCAAGTGAAGATACTGATGAAATCGACATAGCTGCATCAACCGAAAAGCCATCTTTCATCAAGGATCCTAGCGAAAGATTATATTATTATGCTCCAGTTTAGTTGAATTGTGGATGTTTTATAATAAATGTATCGAAAACAATTATGTATTTTATTTTCGAAATGAAAATGATTTGTCAACACGAAAAATCCAAAATGCTCATAGTGAAATGAAATAATACATAAATGAAAAGCTCAATGGCATTTCCACAAATGTTCATAGGATGAACAACAATGGTAGATGACGGGAGACAAACAACCACTCTCCTTGCTAAGGTTACATTCTCCTGAAATCTATGCATTGATTCGTATCAGAAATATACTGATGCGAATGTTTCTTTCATGAATGCCTGTTGATTTCAATTTAGCCAGGTTAACGCTCGACACCTGCAGATCGGTTTCGAGCTCTTTGACTCTCATCAGTGTAGGGTAGTCTCCAGCTTTAGCAGTCCGAAGACTGCCAGCTAAGGCGTCTCTTATAGACAATATGAGTGTAACGCCATCTTAGTAGGAAGAATGGCAAGAAACACTGCAGAACTGTGATTTCCATATCGGTGAGATGTGGGAGTGGCTGATTTCCTGACCAGCGTAATTTCAACTATACGAAAAAGCCAAAATGCTCAAAGTAGAATGGAATGTTAAACGGATACCAAAGCACAAAATCATTACCACAAATATCTGAGGCGATCTTACAGTGGAGTGAAGGCAATAGGATAGGACAAAATTCTCACAGTCTACTCCACCAAAACTATACGACTATACTTTATTGTGAGCAAACTTACAGGGACATGTTTCGAAGCTTTAAAGCTTCATCATCAGCGTTATTGTGACATAGGAGCACTAGAGTGAGAGAAACACAAAGAACGTCAGACAAACCCCTCAACATCGATAGGTCTAAAAAACTCAGCTGTTTTGGAGGAAAAAAGTTATGTTCACATATTTAGATAATAAAAAATGTTTTAGAAAAAGATAAAACTGTTGAATGGGGACCGCAATTATTGCGGAACCCATTTGTTAGACAAGAAAAATGAGATGTCAAAAATCAAACATCAAAGGAATGGCATGACTTTGACATGAAGTGAGTGAAGTCCCTAACAAAGGGGTTCCGCAATATTCGCGATCCACATTAACTTTTTTATCTTTTTCTAAAACATTCTCCATAATCTAAATATGTGAACATGACTCATTTCCTCCAGAACAGGTGAGTTTTTGAGGGGTTTGTCTGACATTGTTCTTTGTTTTTCTCTCACTTTAGTGCTCCTATGTAACAATAACGCTGATGATGAAGCTTTAAAGCTTCGAAACATGTCCCTGTAGGTTTGCTCACAATAATGTATAGTTTTGGTGGAGTAGACTGTAAGAATTCTGTCCTGTCCCATTACCACAAATGTTCATGAAATAAACAACAATGGTAGATGACGAGAGAAAAACGACTACTTTCCTGGCTCATGCCACGCAGAACATTAAGAATGTTTCTTTCCTGAATGCCTATTGATTACGATTGAGCCAGGTTAACGCTGACACCTTATTTAATTCAATATTTCATTCCACTCTGGGCATTTTGGCTTTTTTATAGTGGAAATTAAGCCAGTCGAGCAGTCAGCCATTCCCACATCTCACCGATATGGGAATGATAGTTTTGGAGTGTTTCTTTCCTTTCTTCCTACTCAACGATATATTACATAACTAGTGTGTACACTACACTATTTTTCCTACAACCACAAATATTTATATTATATGTCATGAGTGTTCATGAGACCAGAGTAGGGATCATGTTTCTAATCATATTCGATCACATGAAGGTGATATCATCATCATTATTATTTAATTTCACTTCAATATTCAAATGACATAATTAGTTCAACGTTAACTTAACATTAACTTAATATGAACTTAATTATAACTCAACATCAACTCAACTTAACTCAACATTAAATCAACATTAACTCAAAATCAACTTGACATTACCTTAAAATCTAATTAACATCAACTCAATATCAAATTGACATTAACTTCACATTAATCACTGAAATTGCCAATACATTGACATTATTTCAACTTTCAATTGAAATTAACATGATTTCAACTTTTCTTCAACTCAACATTACGTCAACATTAACGACAATAACTCATGTTAAATCGACACTAACTTTCCATCAACTTGACTATAACTTAACTTACCATAATTCAGCATAATAATCATTCATTGGCACATCATAATCTATAGACACTGTTACTGTGCGATTTTCGAATATTTCCACCCATGTGACTTTTACTTTCGAACTTTCTAACTGTTATATGTTGTCATAGTGAAACGAGTCACTTTCTCAATAACAAATCAATGTGTTTTGTGCTGTTTCCATAGGTGGTCGTGGGAAAATGCCTTTACACTCATATTGTCTATGAGAGATGCCTCTGAGGAAATAACGTGCCGACATAATCCTTGTTGGGGCAGGTTACGCTTCGCTGGTGATTTTTGGACAGCTAGCTGAAGAGTACCCTACACTATGGGATCCAAAGAGCTCGAAACCGGTCTTTAGGTGTCGAGCGTTAGCCTGGCGAAATAGACATCAATTGGCATTCAGGAAAAAAACATTTGCATCAGTATTCGTTTTTACGAATCGATGCATAGATTTCGGAAGGATTAAATTCAATGTTCTGCAGGGCATTAGCCGGGAATAAATCAGTTGTGTCTCTCCCGTCATCTACCATGGTTGTTCTTCTTTCAAATATTTGTGGAAATTACTTTGAGCTTTGTATCTATTCAACATTTCATTCCACTTTTAGCATTTTTGCTTTCTCGTAGTTGAAATGACGCCAGTCGGGCTAGAGTCACTGGATGGTATCAGTTAGATAAGATTTCGGACACAGGAATGACAACTGTTAGTGATTTTGAATGTTTAGATTCATTAAGTTACACACCTTGCATTGTGACAACAGCACCATAGGCTATATACCAAATTCAACTGGTCAGTATTGTCAGTAAATCCACTGACTCTGCTGAAAATCTGGGTTCCGAAATATAAAATCAAAAATAAAGTGCTGTAATTCAAAATACATTGGATAATGATAATCAAAATTATTGAAGTTTAACCTATCTTGGACCATCAACTGAAGAATTAGCTCCATTTCTACATAAACAGGACTTGACAGTAGCGTATAGGACAAATAACACGTTGGGAAGGTTTATCAAAAATAATAAAGACAAAACTTCTGAATTCGAAAAATCAGGGGTATACAAACTCAACTGTGGATCTTGTCCTAAGGAATATATCGGTCAGAGAGGTCGTACGTTTAATAAGCGCATTCATGAACATAAGATGAATTTTTTTAAAAAGAAAACAAATTCAACATACACCAACCATATATTAGAAGAAAACCATAGTTTTGATGATAATTTCGAAATTCTACATGTAGAAAATGAAGGAATGAATGAAATTCGTAATATTATCAGATCGGGTATAAGAAGTTTTATACATGTACAAAGCCACAGATGGTTTCGGAACTATTAATCTAAATCAATCATCTCGGGCTCCACTTTAGATAGCTATATCCCGAGGGGGCCGTTTCTGGACACATGTTTACCTAAACTTTTTTCACCATTTTTGTTTCTAGAATCCGTGTTTGAAATCTTCGTGTGTAATTTTAGATCACCCTGTATATTCATTTCTTATTTATCTGAGAATATTCTTTTTCAGTATTTCTATTGGATGGGTAACAAACATGTATACGATCTATGACTTTTTTGACTTGCATAATAAATATATATTCTGATCCAAAGTATTCTCATTCTAGTTCCAATTTTCCTTTCATTCCATCCTCTAGTCTGTATTATTTCCATCCCTCTGGTCCTATAGAGATTCGTTGTGACAAGACAGAGATTACGTTATCTTCGACAGAGAAGCTTCGACATCGTAACCCAACTAGAACAATTTAAAGCAACTGAATATTTCATGGCGTGAGTTGAGGACCTTCCCAAACTGAGTTAATCCTGGGATAGGGTGAATACGAATGCAAATAACAGTCCAGATACAGGTGGTTTGTAATTGTAAGAAGTCATTTTTTATATTCCAAGAGTAGTTATGAATTATAACTCCAATTCCAGAGCATGACTGAAACCTCCCATTGAATTTAAAAAATGTAAGTATCTCTACTCTTCCCTATGAATAAAAATATCAGTACCTAATATACCTATACAAGTCATTTTTCCTCGAACCTAACCAGAGAAACCAGGTTAACTTGTTGATGACGTCATGGTAACTTTATTATGACGTCAGGGTTAATCGTTTGGTTTCAGTAGTAATTCAGTAATACCTTGAGTGATACTAATAAATTGGATGAGAAATTCATCATCTGTAACAAAAATATATCATGGATAGGAACCGTAGGTACTCACTTCATAATATATTACTATACTATACTATATGAATATATTTATTTACATATTTACAATGAATCAAATATTCATTTCCTTCAATAATATGATGAGATATTTCATTGAAAAATACTTCATTCTCTGTTTGAGATATATTAGTATATTACGTGATATGTGTTGTAACTCAACAATCAGAAGTGTTTCTCTGGTCGGCGCCTTTGATATTTTAGGATCTGTTTTCTGGAATCCGCCATGTTCTTGGGTTAGCAAGCAGAGCCGTTTTTTCGTTTTATTATGTTCATGATTAGGTACATCTGGGAATATCCGTTTTCAATAAAATGTATTCAATTATTACAAAATTACACTGACACTTAATTCAATGAAAACGAGTTTACAGAAGCTAACTTTTATTTTTAGTATAGGACAGGTTTGAACGCAAACATTGCTGAAAATTGGAATTGTTAGATTCGACCAGGTTTTCATTAGATTATTTCTTCAAGTTGTTTTTTTGGAAAAACTAAATATTTTTTTCTCAATTGCAGTTCTAATTGGTCAATAGGTTCACAAGGTATATTCATTCAACTGACTCTGATCAGATGAGGAATAAAACCTAGTCATAGAATTATTTTTGCAATCTGTAGTAGCACACACAAGACCATCTCTGAGTTCTTTAAGCACTCATTTTTAC